AGGCGACACACCGCTGTGGTTTGGAGAGTGGGGCCTTCCGACGCAGTTTGATGCAACGGATGCGTTCCTGTACATGTGGGCGGACGCGCAAAAGCTCGCATATACCCAGGGCGCAGGATGGATCGTGATATGCACACGTAGTTCTGGAACTTCAAGGTTGAGCAGTCGGAGCTCGCGGGGAACCTGTCCCGGCAGTGGTGAGTATCGTTTATTTACTCACACGCCAGCATATATTCTGTGGAGAGCTGACTGTATGCGCGCAGGTCTTACATCGAGGGCGTCAAGCTCGGCTACTTGACGCAGAATCCTGCCGACTATCACAATGCCAGCGTATGCGCGCCTTACATCGAGTCTTCCTAAGCGGGACACTCACATCGGGAATGAATTATTTCGGTATTCTATATAAACAAAATGGGATGGGACAATGACTACTGTACATGTGTAGATACTATCACCAGTCAATACCCATGTCTACAGTGTAGTTGAATCACTTACGAATGCTGAGGACGCATCAATTGAAAGCATCGGCGATGTTGAGTATGCTGCTGTTGTCGAGGACGCTAAAGGGGGTCTTTGGACTGCCTGCCTTCTGCACAGTATCTGGAGGGAGGCCGGAGGACCCGACCGCGCCTACCACGCGCATGGCCTTTGCAAGAGTAGGAACCTGAAGATCAGAGCAGTGTTGAAGCGCTTCATCTCACCAGACATAATGGCTGGGGAAGTGGCTTACGGGCATGTATACACTCGACGATACCTTGGACGCGAGCCATAGTACGGAGCTTCATCCTAGATATCAGCGCCACGCAGGAATATCAAGGCAACTCATAACTACTTACGTCGCGATCGACTCCATCACCCGTGTCTCGCCCCGGTCCGCCTCGCCCAGTATACCAGGGCGGAAGATAATTGTGTCATTATAACCGAGCTCGGCGATCTTCTGTTCGGTGATGCCCTTGCTCCTGTATCAACGAAACTCTCAGCGACGCGTGCACCTCAGACTTGGGCTCAAACCGCTGACCTCCAGTAGAAGTCCCAAGAACTGGGGCTCGCGCCGCCAACCTGTGGGTAGGATGGGCGAATTACTACTTCATCAGGAGTTGAGAGAAGGGAGGACGTACGGATACGTAGAGCAGCCGTTGGGGATGCGACGGGTCGTCGGACTTGGCTGCGCGGGCGGCGTTGACGACATATCTAGAATTAATGGCTCGTAAACGTGCTGGCGCCGTTAGGAGAAGCTTGGAAACGCACTCTCTGTCGATCTTGTCAAACGCAGCAGCACTGCCCGCCTTCTTACGCGTCGTCCCCATACTGCAAAGATAATCTCAACATCCATCCGCGTTCACCTAAACTGCGACGTGAGCACAAACGTGATGAAGACCACGTCCCACTTCTTGTCCCTGAAGCCGGCTTCCTCGAGCTTCTCAAAATCAATGATCTTCTGGTCGAGCTTCTCCTTCCCCGTCACGATCTTCTCCGGAGACGTTATGTGCCGCCCATACTCGGACACACTGGCATACTGGGGTGACGCAAGCAGCTCCTGTAGCAGACGCTTGCCCGTCGCACCGGTCGCACCAAGGATTAGAGCATTGAGGCCTGCCAATGTCATGGTCGGCGTCGGTGAACGCCTCCTCTAAATCGGAATATGGTGGAAAACGCACCTGGCATGGAGTCTTTCTGCATGTCTGCGTTGGTGGCCGAGGTCGCTGATCAAGCGAGGTGGCCACCCTCTGATTTCACGTGCGGACGCGTCGCATTGCCATGTGGCGACATGCGGCGCTCTGAGTGTGCGCATTCAATTGCTCTAGTTGGCTATCCGTGTTCTGGTCAATGCTTGCAACTTGCAATTACTCCAGATTCCAGCTTCTGGAACCGGACATACTGTGGAAGTTCAGAGGGCCTAAATAGCGTCGTAGACAAGCAATAACTCAGCGTCGGCACTCCAGTCGGCGACAATGTCTGACTCGGAGTGGGCGGGCGGTGAGCGAGTGCACAACGGTAAACTGATGGCGACCAAAGTCAAACAAAACATCCGAAACGGACTAAAAACAACTAAACTAATTGCGGACTGCACCCGACGCGGGCGTTGACTACCGCGGTTACCAAAATGGGCATGTGGCCCTGCCGAAGGGCATGGCGGGACTGGATGCTCCAACACATACTCTCAGCATGGTGTAAGTAATAGCTGGGATGCCGATGATCAAGGTGTACCATAGGCAGCTAACGGCGGCCACGTTGCATCTTACGTGAATTATCCCGGAATGAAGAAGTTAGCGAGCCTTCCGTGCAGGTGGCCAGATGACCAGCTCCACTGGTCCGATAGAACCACAATGCAACAGCACAGGTCAAAATGCGGTCCCAAGCCGTCATATAGCCAGATGAAAAGGTCAGGTTTAAAAGAAGGTCAACCCGGCAAAGGCTCAGATCTAAAACTGGAGACACGTCAAGAGCTTGATGACGGTAAGACACATACTATAAGGCGATCAGGCTCCGTGATCGATTCAGTTAAGTGTGCGAGTGAACTGCATCAAAGAACGGTGAGAAGCCAGTACTCAGATAACCACTTATCATGATGTTCATTGCTCCCGCGCCACGGCCGTGACGATCCCTTTGCAGATTACGCGGGCTTCTACATAGTCTGTCTGAGTCACAAGGAGGGCAATGCACGCTGATATGCGCGCAGGATGTAATCGAGTGAAGCACGAACGTAATATGCGGGTATACCATACCATGAGCGGCCTTCACTCTGGCGGAGGGGTGAGCAGTGAAGGGCAGTAACGAGGCATTATATGACTGCAGCGACTCACAAGAAAAACAACCAGACCGTCACATCTCCTCATCATTAAAGTTGATATCCTCAACCGGGAAGTCCCCAACCGTAACCCTCTCCGGCCTAACGAACACTCCAAAATTCGGCTTACACGTGAAGTACCGCTCGCCTTGTACCCTACCACGCATCAACACATCAGCCCAAGCACCGTCGACGAGCGCAGCAAACACCACCACTCACGAGCCATCATTCTTCCCAATCGGCTCATCATACTCGATCCCCACCCACACGCCCGTCCGCGCAAACTTAGTCGGGCCCACGAAACGCACCGTCCCGCGCTTATGCAAGCCCTCCTCGTTCGACTCGACCTCGCAGCGCGCGCCGACGGGGATGTTGAGCTGCGACACGGGCACGGACGCGCTCGCCTCGTCCTCCTCCTTATCCTTGTCTGCGAAGCGCCCAATCTTGTGCCGCTGCTTGTATGCGAGGACCGTGTCTACAGAGCCCCAGTTAAGGTCAGCCACGATGTTGGGTGGGGCGAACGAGCAGAGGATGGGATGAGATGGGATAGGCCGAGACGCACCTTGCCGCTGCGCGTACTCGCTCTCGCTCAGCTCAAACTTCTGTACTTGCGAGACGTCGCTGAGCTGTCCCGTAAATGACGTAGACGGATTCGTATCCGTGATCTACACAATAAACGATGCCTGAACGTCCTTCGGCATGCAAGGCATAAGCATCACTCACCTTCAGAACCTGCCAATCCTTCAGCCCATAGAACCCCAACGGCCTATTCTCATCATCCAGCACGACGACCGGCTCCGCGTCACTCTCCACATTGAACACCGCAATCGCCTGGTTCTGCACCGGGATGCCCGTAATCAGCTCAAGCTTCTCCTGTAAACCCCAGTCAACGCCAACGTCAGCGTGTCAACAATGCTACGGTGAGATGAGGAACGCGCCTTGAGCTGCTGGACGGTGATGTGCAGGTCGAAGCGCCGCTCGGAGCGCGTGTCGGGCGAGACGACGAAGACGGTGACTGTGCTGGTCATGTTAATGGTAATGTCAACGTTTAACACCTGGTGCTGGGCGCGAGCGGCTCGCGGGAAGGTTCTGGGAAGATGGAGGTTGCACTCACATCGGCTTTGTCATGCGCATGGTCGTAAATGTGCCTGTAATTCAAGCAACTCTTTCAGAGCGAGAAGCGAAAGGACGGGTGGAGGAATGACTGGTAGGCAATGGCCGAGGGAGACGGGTGGTGCTAGATGAGGAACGCGCAACGCGTCTCGATCAGTGTTTCTCGAGCTCAAGCTCAAAGTGAGCTTGAGCTTGCACCACCATGAATCAATCATCCTTGCCACTACAGCTTACACGGGTATCACCTACAACACTCATATAACAAATAACGACTGATACACGCAGCATCATGCATTCTGCTTCCAAAACCGTTCCCTCCTCCCATCACCGGCCGCTCAGGGTATCATTCCCAGTCCGAAGTCCGGCTCCCAAATATTCAACACCCCATCGTAATGCCATTATACAGTCCATCATGATCCGACAAGTCCCCATCATACACCTCTGGCACGTCCCCGACGATGCACTGCGTGCTCGGGTTGTCCTGGCCAGGACACGCCGCCCACTCGCCCGAGTCCTCGATGTGCACCTCGCCCGACGGATGCACGAACCCGAGGAACATGCCCGGACAGATCGGGATCGGGTCCTCCTCATTGTTGATGTGCGTCACCACGACCGATGAGGCATCAACGTAATTCGCGAAGGCTTGGTTTCCCACCTGCAGATTTTCTCATTAACAACTTCGTAAGAACGTAATGGTGTGATAATTTACCCGAGGCAGCCCGTAGCCGTAGTATGCATAAGAGGCATCTGGGATGTGCAGTGGCAAATAGACCGAGTCGAGCAGCGATATTGCGGCTCCTGTGAAACGGTCAGCACAGCGGCTCGTCCTCGGAAGTATATAGGTGCGTACCGAGTGAATGACCAACAATCGTTATTTGATTTGTCCCATATGTCGACAGAGTCTTCTGCACGGCCGAGAGAATGTCCGTTGCGGTCCTGCAAGGCTAATCAAAATGTGATCCCTCCCGGTTGCATCTGTTGCACTTACTTGGCTTGTGCGTCTGCAAAGCCTTGATCGACCTCAATATCCGAACTCAGCCCGGGGAAAAGTGATGAGTCTGGGTTGACCAGCACGATGTCGCCATCTGTCACGAGAGGCAGGCTGCAGATACGATTCAGCATCGATGGAAGCCAGTACCAAGGGTGGGACGTACATCTCGTCGGGATCCGTGCCCTGGTGAGACACAATTACCGTATCCAGACTCGGGTCATACCCAACAAACCCTGGCCAACCATCAGTACATGCGCGACAGGCAGAACCCCCTCTCCACGTACAATACTGCGTGCTGTCGCCATCGCCTCCCGAAGCTACTGGCTCGAAGTCGGGGTTTGCCTCGCAGTTCGTCCCGCAGTCCCAAACCAACGTCTGCGACGCATTGCAGTAGCCCGTGCTCGCGTACCAAGTATACGGTGTGAACGCCGTGATCTGCGCCTGCGTGAGGGCGGTGATGGACTGCCTCGCCTTCAAGCCGGGCCTGGCCTGTACGGCAGACAGAGCGGCGAGGAGAGCGGCGCCAAGGACGAGAGAGAACATCGCAGCTGTGAGCTCAGAGGCGTCGGCCGCCGGGTGTCCTATGTTAGGGCGGGCAGAAACGCAAGAACGTAGCTAGCTCGACTTAAGTATGAGCCTGTCTGGGTGGCCCCATAATCGGATGCCTGCAGAACCGGCGATGTACGACGTGGACGGGAAAGGGAGGACAGGCCATATGGATCGAAGCCGCACTAGCCCCAGCGGGGCAGCGAAGGCAACACGAGTTGTCATGTGCTCGGTGTCACCAAAGACAGGCTTCGCCACTTCTGCCAAAGTGACCATGAGCGATGGCGTTCTGGTTGTCGATTGGTTGCGCGCCAATTGGCCGCCGTTGATCTTCGCTGTTCCCCGCGCCGTGGGCATTAACAGATATAGTCCTAACGTCAGCGGCCGCTCTGCTGATTATCGCACGCACACTGGTGCCGTCGAGACATCAGCTTAGCATCACGGCGGGAACTACAGGGCATTGGCACACACGTAGGCTGCCGAGGCATGTCCGCGTGGGCTGGTCCTCGCCATATGGAGAGATACGCAACGTTCGTCGCTGGGCTCGTCCCGTATTTGCGCACGTGCGGAGGTGCAATGAGAAATCCAGGTACCTTCGGGCGAGGTTCCGAGCAGGAGCGCCGCTGATGTCTTCTGCTAGGCGAGCGTCAAGAGTGGTCTGTTCAGGATCCCACAATCCACAATCTCTTTCCAAAGACCCGTTCTATTACGGTTTCTCGAAAACCAAAGTCCCATGCCCCGGAGCGGTTGGTCATAGGCAATACGGTATTGTCTTCGCTACGCGAGTCATTTGTATGTTCATAATGCGGAGCTAGAGCATGTGCCCTGCGCAGACGCTCTTGTACATGCCGTTAGCATCACCGTCAGTGACAGCAATTCAGTTACACACCAGAGTATATCCGTCCCGATTGGAAACTCCCACGTCTACTGAATTCCGTAACGGATGATGACATGATATCACCGCTATGTAGGGGCTGGAGCACCGTTAGAGATCATCTGTCTTGGGATACTACTGCCAATACTGCGCAGCAGATATTCGCTTCTCTGCATGTCTGCGATGGGATGCCCCGGTGAGCGAAGGCGACGAGGTCACGCAGAGCGACTCGACCTTTCGTTGAGGTATGCATTCTCGCACACTAAGCGCAGTGCAACACAAGCGGTGAGTTCAGTTTTGCCTGTGCGCCACGAGTCCATAGCGCGTTGTATGCGCGTGTGTACGCGTCTCGACGCGTCCATTTCGATTTGACACGTCCTGCGTGGCCTGGAACGTATCATAACGAGAAATCCACACCTTGTGGCCACGAAAGTCTCATCAACGGTCATCAGGAGATTGCGGCGGAACGTGAGCATTGCGCCCTATTGTCGATCACATCGCAGAACAAACACCCAGGTTTCTAGTAATAGTAGTCGTTTCAGTGTCGCATTGTGGAGGAGGCAAGTGACGCACTCACGATCACATTATGCACATGAGCAGGGACGACAGTTGTTAGCAATGGAGGGGTGGCCGGGGGGGGGTCAATAAAGCCAGTGAAAAGGACTGACTCTACCGTACGCGACCATGGATCCGTGTCATGCCGATGCCACCACCGTCCGTCCCTGCCAGGGACTGGTTCCGTTTCATGCTACGCACGTGCAGAAGCTGCGCCTAGTGAGTTAGCCAAGCGATATTTTGCTCCCTCGAACTGGGACTGCGTTCCTGAACGTCTATATAGCAACTCAAGCAAACGTCGCTTCCAGCCTTTTCGCCAACCTGGCGGCGAGCCGTATGGTCTTCCAGCGCATTAGCGCGTCGAGATAGCATATCCATGCTCTACAGCAGATAAAGGCATTCGGTCTCAGAGTCTGTCTGGAAATGAGCGTTCGGCGAGATGCATCGTAAACCCGACCGAAATGATCTCTCACCAATGACGTCTGGGCTAGGACATGTCTCGGGGTTACTGCGTCTGTAACTCGTCGCAATACCACATGCCCATAGTGAATGGACGACTTTCGGATCTTTCATCAGACCATTGGAAGCAATGCACGTCGGACCACCTCCTCTGTCATGCCGGCCTGGAAGGTTGGAAGCAGAGGAGCTTGACCACCTCCTGCGTTTCACGGGCTTGTCATTCCCACGCACGCAGACCGCACGGTTCCGCCCCGTCTTGCACGTTCTTCAGCGAGCGGTCTCGTCGACATCCCAAGAGACAAGTGAGAGCTACGGGCAAGATCGTCCAGCGTCTGAGACCAGCGGCTATGGGAATGCATCATGTGCACTGGCTGCCGCGTCGATCAAAATCAAACCTGATCGGGATTGGCCTTACCTCTCTGCCACCGACGCACGCGCTCTTCTGCTATCTGCCACAACATCGCACGTCCCTACCTCCTCATGATCTACAGTCGTTGGTTTCTTTGTTCTACACCCGCAGATCAGCCAGCATGCCAGCTCTCGGCACTGCCTGTCTACCGCCACCACCAGTGCTCTTTGCTCGGCGCGAATATAAAAATGTCATGGCCTAATCGCTCTCTTGTTGTTCTCCAGTCTCCCCTGGATTGATTCGCTCCAGTGCTTGCACGCGCGTTAGCTATGGTGCCTTCCTTCGCCCTCGGCGTTGCCCTGCTAGCTGCGCTAGCTGCAGCCGTCCCCGCGCCGCATCTCCAGGTGAGATCGTCCAGCAGAACGATCACCGCGCTCTCCTCCACTGCGACCGCTGCGTTCAGTCCGTACACGTACTACGCCAGCGCGGGCTACTGCTCCGCGTCCGAGACGAGCAACTGGAGCTGTGGGGCGAACTGCGATGCGAACCCGACTTTCAAGCCCGTCGCGTCGGGAGGCGACGGGGACTCCGTCCAGTACTGTGAGTGCTTGGGCCTGTGCTGTGGATGCGTTCGGTAGTGTCTGATGGATCTTAGGGTATGTTGGATACGACCCGACCCTCGATACGGTGATCGTTTCGCATCAGGGAACTGATCCCGACGAGATGTGAGCAGTGCTGCTTTTGTTCGTCGCGGAGGTGATATCTCATCCTGATTTCGCAGCCTTCCGTTGGTCACGGACGGGGACATTATCATGATAAACCCGGACACGACGCTCTTCCCTGGCCTCAGCTCGAGTATCGAAGTGCACCAGGGCTTCGCGGACGAGCAAGCAAAGTGCGCGATCCCATCCTATCATTTACATCGGGTTCTG